TGGTCTACGCCTAGGATTGAAAGAAAAGATCCATAGGGTTGATGAAGAGAGCATGGCCACTATCAAGGAGGCATCACTTAAGTATGAAGCCTGTGAAGTTGAGGGTAGAGAGGAAAACAAGGCCAAAGAAGAGGATAAGAAGAGGAAGTTTGGAGTGAGTTATGCTGGACCTCGTTACCCACCCAGGAGAGGTCCTAGCAGTTTTGAGTCAATCTATGTCAGGAACATCATACAGGGCACCAATTTTCTCAGCCACACAATTTCCATTTTGTCAAGTTTGTCAGAAGAGGCATCTTAGAGAGTGTAGGAGATTTTCCGGTGTATGCTTTCACTGTGGCCAACCTGGGCACATCATGAGGGATTGTCCGCATTCGAGAGAAGTAAGAGCTACATAGTCCGAGTCTTCAGTGCAATTTAGTAGAGCCCCATTCAGGGGTGGTTACCAGGGAGGTCGTAGTGGATTTCAGAGTGGTCGTGGTGGTTCACAGGGTGGTAGAGGTGGTGGTCGAAATCAGCCATCAGGAAGTGGTACAGGGGTGGTTACCAGGGAGGCCGTAGTGGATTTCAGAGTGGTCGTGGTGGTTCACAGGGTGGTAGAGGTGGTGGTCGAAATCAGCCATCAGGAAGTGGTACACAGGGTACCATAGGACAGGGAGCACCGAGGATTTATGCAATGACTCGAGGTGAGGCAGAAGTGGCACCAGAAGTTGTGACTGGTATGCTTTCTATCCTTGGCAAGCAATTATAATGAATCACTATTTGCCGCTCGTTCTTTTACTATTTGCCGCTCGTAGTTATAAAAAATAGGAAAATTTTACCCCTTCTCCATTAAAAAAACCCTAAACCTATCAATTCCCTAACCCAACCCTCACACCCTTCCCTCCCAAACTCTTCCGCCTCCACCCTCCCAACCATCACCGCCGGCTAGTGTAACCCTCCCCGCCGACCACCAAAAACCATCACTACCTCGTCCACCACATTATCACCACCGCCGGACCTCCCAAATCATCTCTGCCGCCGTCCACCACAACATCGCAGACGCCGGACCTCCCAACCCACAACTGCCGGACCTCCCAATTAACAAAACAAACAAACAAAAAATTTGTACGCTCGCCAGCAGCGGACACCGTCCGCCTGTGACAATCAGACCCAGTCCGAACATTTACGGCGGACTTTTATGCTATATGATGAACCATGGATTGTTGTATGATATTATTGACTTGCCCTAGCCGATATGGACCTTGTTTATGTTGATGATTGCATACATGTTGCCAGTTGTGGCTTAACCGTTTATATGACTTCATGGTTGTTCGATCAGGTTTTTTGACATGATGTGATATTGTGGTTGTTTTTGGATTCACAAGTGGGGGAAATAAACTTCCTAGGGTGATATTATAATGTTTAAAGAGGATGACTTGCACGAGGGTTTATCCCGAGGAAGTGCAATTATATGACTCCAGATTTACCTATGTTGAGCCAATTATGGCCAGGTCAAGTACATGTGCAAGTCATGAATTATGATTAAGCAAGATGAGATATGAATCATGTATAAGGATACCAAATATGAGTGGTGTGGTCTCACGGTCAACTACATAGTAATTAAGGCTCCCTATGCTATTAATCTATTATGATATGTATGATAGTCACACCTCTCATTTGGTGGTGACTAAAGAATTCTTATGAGATATGACCACACCCAGAGTGGTGTCGGGGTATGACTACACCCATAGTGGTGTGGGGTATGTATGACCACATCCGACGGGATGTTGGGGTATGTATGACTACATCCGACGGGATGTGGAGTATGTTTTCCGGGAGAGTTACTAGCATGGGAGTAGCCAAGCGCCTATAAGTAAAACATGATAAGATGCATATGCATAAGTCGAGATGGTTGAGTCTTTTACCTATTGGGATGTCAGATGGCTGAGGACTGATCCTAGTTCTTTGGCTTGTTTGCTAGATGTATGGTAGGGGTATGCTCTGTTATGAACTCACGATGCAATGATTGTCTCACTCAGCCATGAGCTGACCCTCTTTTATTCTTCTTCTCTGCTTATGCCATGTGTAAGCAGATCAGCAGCAGCAGCAGTAGATAAGTGTTAGGTGGGAGAGGAGCTAGAGTTGAAGCCAGGATGAGGTATGGTCTTCAACTATTCTATGCTTGGACGACTACTTGGGATTTTGGCCAGTGATCCACACCTTTTTGTAAAAAAATGTTTTGAGAACGTTTTTCATTTGCATACTAGCTTCTGATGTAGTGTGAGATATCCACAGGTGTGGAAAGTTGATGATATGTGTATATGTTGTGTAACTGTGTAAGTTGTGATGATTATGGTATGTATAAGTATGGTATGCAGTTGTGGAGTATGAAAAGTGTGACTATGGCTAAGAAAAGCTAATGCATATGGTTGTGAGTATATATGTTTGTGATGAATTATTTTGCAGGATAATTTCCAAGAACTGTTAGCCCATTACCAAGTAATTCATGTCGAAATTTTATTTGGGTAAATTTTGATAATTAATGTAACACTCGAGATTAATTCCGCTGCAATTGTATGAACAATATGATTAGGCAAAATGTATAGGGTAGGGTATTACATCTTCACACTGCTTCACCTTGATTCGTTCCTGCAGCATAGGATGAATTTTCAAAGTTGCTAACAACTTTGTCACTTCCTCTAGCTCCAACTCCACGTTCATGGCCCTCAAAGAGACCAACTCCGGTAAAGGGCTATCCCTCTTCCTGCTCAAGGCGTCAGCCACCACATTTGCCTTTCCTGGATGGTACTTAATGGTGCAGTCATAATCGCTCAATAGCTCCATCCACCTTCTCTGCCTCATGTTCAACTCCTTCTGGTCAGTCAAGTGCTTGAGGCTCTTGTGATCAGTGAAGATGGTGAACGTCTCGCCGTTGAGATTGTGTCTCCATAACTTCAAGGCAAAGACCAATGCTACCAACTCCAGGTCATGGGTGGGGTAGTTCACCTCATGGGATTGTAGCTCCCTCGAAGCGTAGGCAATCACCTTCTTATCCTGCATCAATACACAGCCCAAGCCTTGGTAGGAACGAACAACACTAATAGTGGGGTTTACCTTAAAAGTTTCTCCTCTACTTGTATTCATATCATCTGGTTCCACTTTCATCACATCCTCACTTCTAGGCTTAGATTCAATACCAAGAGTAATTCTCACCACACTGTCTCTCAGAATCAAAGTTCCCTCATTTACATCAATAACGCCATGGTGGTGGCAAGGAAAGGACGTCCTAGTATGAGTGGTGAAACATCCCACTACTTTAAACTTGGAAAAAGACATTTCTACCCCGAGGTATATTTAAAAATCTCAAATAACACAACTTTAAATAAAACACCAATCTCAAATATGTTAATATCTCAAAGCGAAGCCGTAAACACGTGGGAAAAACTTGAATCGTACTCTTAAAAGAAACAAAATAAATGAGTCTCCAGTCTTAAACTCATAACCAGAAATTCTTAATAACTTAAGGAGTTCTTCGATGCTTACTCTGGCGCCTGGCTTGACATCCCTTAGCGACGGTCATGTTGAGCTCCTCTAGCTTGCTGGTCACGGACTGGCTGTTTATGATCTCCTCCTCTACGATCTGGTGAGTGAGTTGGGGTCAGCTACGCCCTTACTTTTGAAATCTCTAGCACTTCTTACTTAAGAACTTAAGTTAAACTGGTGGACGATACTTCCACTCTTTATCTTAAACTGACACTGGGATCCCACACTAGCTAGTCCAGTTGCCAACTCATACGTATGAGAGCCCATCCAAGCTTTCCTTAAACTTAAACTCGTCGTGGAAGGCTCTTCTTCCATGATTCTCAAGAGCATAACTGCTGCTCATCTTAAAATATCTCAAGAGCATAACTGCTACTCATCTTAAAAGTCTCAAGAGCATAACTGTTGCTCTATCTCAAAATCCCAAATGAAAACGGACTGGCGCTAGTGACTAAAAACTCTTAAACGGTTTCACCTTCTTGAAGGTGAAGTACTTAAAAATAACTTGTTTCTTAAACTTTAACCATCACTCATAATTAGCGTAAAACTTTAAGGTAAATAACAACTCATAGATATTCATTCCAAACATAGCTCAAACAAAGCACATATCATCAATCATAAGCACAATCAAACAACGATAGTGACTTCATCAAAATACTTAAAAGCTCATAATACTTGAAAGAACACGTAAGACGTAGAATTTACCCCCTTTACACTCACCTTGCAAAGATGACTCCTCGATTCCTTACTCGAAGAAATCCCTCATAGCCGAATTATCTCGGTGAACCTTTTAATAAGAAGGCCATGAAATCCGGATATAGGGAGGCGGCCGGGATCTTCCTTCTTTTTCCCTTCTCGCAGGCGATGGGAAGCAAGGGGTGGGGGGGGTGGATTTTGCTGGGGATCGATTGCTACGGGGGGTGGGGGTTTCTGACGGCTGGGGAAAAGAATTAGGGAGGGGGAATTTGATGCTGGGAAATTGCAAGGGTTGGGAAATTGGGGCCGCTTGGCCCCTGTCCAAGGATTTATATTCCTCTTTTTTAATTATATATATAATAATAATAATAATATTATTATTATTAATAAACCGCGGTTGGAACTCGTAGTACGTAATCGTCAATCAAACTGAACACGTATTAAGGTCGAACCTAAACCCAAAAGTCGGAGTGTTACATTTCCTCCACCCTTATAAAAAGGCTAAATTGCAAGTTTGGTCACTCGAATTGCTACAAAATTTCACGTTTGGTCACTCGAATTTGTTTATTCCATTCGTAGTCACTTAAATTAGTTGAATAGTCCAAGTTCGGTCACTTTCCGTTAACCTCCGTCAGACTCCGTTAGTGCCGTCAGTTAACTGTTGACGTGGCTAACAGAGATGTCTAGTCACCTAATTTTAACCCAAGAAAAAACAGAAATTGACCCGCCACGTCAGAAAAACATGCCACCTCATATAAAAAGAATCCAACCCACCCAACCTTAAAAAAAAACCATTAACCCACCCAGAAATCGAACCCGTGACCCATCCACCCTTCTTCTTATTCCTCTATACCCTGTTCCGCCGCCGCCGGGAGATTTCCCCTCGGTCTCCCTGCTGCAGCCCCCGCCGCCGGATCCAGATTCGCGAGGAAGAAGAAAGTGAGAAGCTGGCGCCCCTTGGAACGCTCTTTCCCCTTCTAATCACTCTGCTGGCGACTTCGCCATGGATGCCGGCCACCAGGAAGCCTTCGATATTCTCCTTAATGCTGGTATTTGTGATTTTATTGCTTGCCAACTCTCACCTCTAGCTTCCGCAACTAATTGTTTATGTTTCACTGTTGGAATCCGCCATTTTATCCTTTTGCTGGACATTCAAATTTGCCAAAATCTATCGTTCAAGTGCCCGTAGCTGTAAGTAGATTGGGTGAACTGGCCATTTTGAGCTCTCTGTGTTGTAATACAGGAATTCAAGCTGAATTGATTCTTGGAACCATTGCAAGGAGAGAAAATGAGAACAACAGCAACTCCAATGGGGATTATTTGGAAGATAGGGTTAGTTTTAGCGAAGACAAGCTCTTGGACTCTCACAGTAAAGGTGTTATGATGGCTTGGGAGAAACCTCTGATGGAGGCACACGCCAAGGACCATGGCGAAGAACCGGCTTTTTTGGTTCCTCCTTCTCACTTTCTTTTTCCTCGCGAATCTGGATCCAGCGGCGGGGGCTGCAGCAGGGAGATCGAGGGGAAATCCCTCTGGCGGCGGTGGAAGCAGGGTATAGAGGAGGAAGAAGAAGGGTGGATGGGTCACGGGTTCGATTTTTGGGTGGGTTAATGGTTTTTTGTAGGTTGGGTGGGTTGGGTTGTTTTTATATGAGGTGACATGTTTTTCTGACGTGGCGGGTCAATTTCTGTTTTCTCTTGGGTTAAAATTGGGTGACTAGGCATCTCTGTTAGCCACGTCAGCAGTTACCTTACGGCACTAACGGAGTCTAACGGAGGTTAACGGAAAGTGACCGAACTTGGACTATTCAACTAATTTAAGTGACTACGAATGGAATAAACGAATTCGAGTGACCAAACGCGAAATTTTGTAGCAATTCGAGTGACCAAACTTGCAATTTAGCCCTTATAAAAATTTTGTCCCCGGAATTTGACCGCTATTGAGGTTACTTTTATGATGAAACCCTGTTGTTGACGGAATGACGCTATTTGGGATTTGACATTTCCCTCCCCCTTAAGAAATTTCGACCTCGAAATTGTAGCCAATCTGGGTTGCTAGCTATTGCGGGAGCGAACTAAACCACCAGGTCTTATTATTGAAATACCGAGAAATTAGTAATAAAAGTGAGAGTACACAAAGGTTCGCCAACTACTGATCTAAGCACCATTAAACAACTCTGGGTACTTCTCTCTCATGCTACTCTCTGTCTCCCAAGTCGCAGCCTCGCTGCCTGGTTCCTCCATACCACCTTTACCATGGCAATCATCTTCCTCCTCAACTCCTTTTCCTACCTATCCACAATCTGGACTGGGACCTCCTCATAGGTCAAATTATCCTCCAAATGGATGTCCTCATGCTTGATCACATGCTCTGGGTTGGACCGATACGCCCTTAGCATGTTGATGTGAAAAATGTCGTGAATCTTAGATAGGCTAGGAGGTAAAACTAGTCGATATGCTAAGGTTCCAATGCGCTCCAACACCTCATATGGACCGATATACCTCGTAGTAAGCTTTCCCTTCTTTCTAAATCTCATCACTCCCTTCCAAGGAGACACCTTCAGGAATACCATATCACACACCTCATAACATCGTGGGTTCCCTGGCCTCTCAGCATTACTCTTCTGTCGGTCCTGAGCCGCCTTCAAGTTTCGGCGAATCCCCTTCACCTTCTCCACTACCTTCTGTACCATATCTGAACCCTCTAGCTGTTGCACTCCTTCTGCATCCCAGTATAGTGGTGTACGACACTTCCTCCCATATAAAACCACATATGGAGCTACTTGTATTGAACTGTGATACTGATTGTTGTAAGCAAACTCCATTAGAGGCAAATGCTCATCCCAAGCTCATTCCATCGTCAAGACACATGCTCTTAGCAGGTCTTCTAGTGTCTGAATGGTCCTCTCTGACTGTCCATCAGTTTGGGGATGGTATGCGGTGGAGAAGTGAACTTTAGTGCCCATAGCCTTTTGAAGGCTCGTCCAAAATCGTGTTGTGAAGCTAGGGTCGCGATCAGACAAGATGCTAAGAGGGACTCCATGCAATCTCACTATCTCCCTCACATACAGCCTAGCCAGCTCCCCCAACCCTAGCTCGAACTTGACGGGTATAAAATGAGCCACCTTCGAGAAGCGATTCACAATCACCCATACTCCATCATTGCCCCTCGGGGTCCTCGGTAAACCATACACAAAATCCATGGTGATCTTCTCCCAAGTCCACTGCGGAATCTCCAACGGTAAGTGCTCAATGATTGGAGCTTGATGTTCAGCCTTGATCATTTGGCACTCTAATCATTGGTAGACATGTGAAGCTACCTACTTCTTCAACCCTGGCCACCAGAAATGCTCCTTGAGGATACGATACATCTTAGTATCCCCAGGGTGCATCGCATAAGGTGTAGAGTGAGCCTCGTCCAGAATATCCTTCCTTAGCTTGTCAACATCTGGGACACACAGCCTTCCTTGATACATCAGTACCCCATCTACCAGTTCAATTTGGTGTCCTTCCCTTCTACTACTTGCTTCCTGTACTTCCCTAATTCCAAATCTTCACTCTGCTTCACCTTGCTTCGTTCCAGCGGCATAGGACGAATTTTCAAAGTTGCTAACAACTTTGTCACTTCCTCTAGCTCCAAATCCACGTTCATGGCCCTCAAAGAGACAACTCCGGTAAAGGGCTCTTCCTCTTCCTGCTCAAGGCGTCAGCCACCACATTTACCTTTCCCGGATGGTACTTAATGGTGCAGTCATAATCGCTTAACAGCTCCATCCACCTTCTCTGCCTCATGTTCAACTCCTTCTGGTCAGTCAAGTGCTGGAGGCTCTTGTGATCAGTGAAGATGGTGAACGCCTCGCCATTGAGATTGTGTATCCATAACTTCAAGGCAAAGACCACTACTGCCAACTCCAGGTCATGGGTGGGGTAGTTCACCTCATGGGATTGTAGCTGCCTCGAAGCGTAGGCAATCGCCTTCTTATCTTGCATCAGTACACTGCCCAAGCCTTGGTATGAAGCATCGCTATAGATGGAATACTCCCCACCGTTGGTCGGTAGTGCTAACAGCGGTGCATAGGTCAACTTCTCCTTCAACAAGTCAAACGCCGTTTGAAACTTCTCGTCCCAAACAATTTCATTCCCATTCTGCAACAACTTTGTCATGGGCCATGCAATACTGGAGAAACCTTCCACACACCTCCAGTAGTACCCAGCTAAACCCAGAAAACTCAGCACTTCAGAAACATTCTTTGGAGGAGCCCAGGTTGTTACAGCTTCAATCTTCTTGGGATCAACTTCAAATCCACGTCCAGAAGTCATGTGACCCAAGAACAACACCTCCTCCAACCAAAAGTCACACTTTGAGAACTTGGCATATAGCTTCTCCTCCTTCAATATCTGCAAAACCACCCTAAAGTGCTCTTCGTGCTCTTCCTTACTCCTCGAGTAGATGAGTATGTCTTCTATGAAGATGATGACAAACTTGTCCAAGTACTCATGAAGAACTCGGTTCATTAGTGCCATAAAAGTTGTCGGTGCATTAGTCAGACCAAATGGCATGATCAGGAACTCATAGTGGTCATACCTGGTGCTAAAGGTTGTCTTAGGTATTGTACCATCTGCCACTCGCAACTGCGATACCCTAACCGCAGATCGATCTTCGAAAACACACTTGCTCCTTGTAGCTGGTAGAAGAGATCATCTATCCTTGGCAAAGGATAGCGTTTCTTGATGATAGCCTTGTTCAGCTTCCTATAGTCAATGCACAGTCTCATACTGTCATCCTTCTTATTCACGAACAACACTAGTTCTCCCAATGGTGATAAACCAGGGCGTATGAACCCCTTCTCCAACAGGTCCTGCAACTACTCCTTGAACTCCTTTAACTCCAGTGGTACCATACGGCAAGGAGGAATAGATATCGGTGCAGTGCCAAAAATCACTTCAATATCGAATTCCGCCTCCCGCTGCGGCGGTATCCTAGGGAGATCTTCGAAAAATACCTCGGGGTATTCCCTTAAAACAGGTACATCTTCTATCTTCTTCTCTTGCACCTCTTTGACATGAGCTAAATATGCCTCACATCCTTCTTGAGTCAGTGAGAATGCCTTGACTGCGGAGATTAAGCATCCAGGAATAAGCTTCTTAGTCCCTTTGAACAATGCAGTGTCCTTTCCTTATACCTCCACACTAACCTCCTTCTTTTAGCAGTCCACCTTCGCTTTATTCTTTGATAGCCAATCCATACCCAATATAACATCGAACTCGTCGAAGGGTAGTAGAATCAAGTTTGCCTCAAATTCGTGCCCCGTCACGGTGATAAGACAACCCCGAATGAGTGAGTCTGCTATAAGGGTATCCCCCACCAGGATTCTTACCCTTAAATTCTGCCCTAACCTCACAAATGGAATTCCTAAGGTTCTAGCAAGCTTGGTAGAAATGAAAGAGTGCGTGGAACCGGAATCAAACAATACAAAAGATGACTGGTGGTAAAGGAGATCATACAAGTCACCACATCAGGTGCAGCGTCAGCTTCTTCTCTCCTCATGGCAAACAGTCTTGGTTGCCCAGATGCTTCAGATTCTTAACCTCGATCTTGCTCATTGCGGTTGAACCGCCCTGCATTGCCTCCCTGCTGGTGATAGGACCGGTTTGGCTGGTTGCCAAAATGTTGTCCTGTATGAGTTCTTCCTCCTTTACCCCGAACTGATTGTTAGGACTGGGCTCTCCCTTGCCCTCCTCTCCTAGGGCAGTCTCTGGCATAGTGGTACGGCTCGTTGCAGTTATAGAAAATGCCTCCCAGGTGCACCTTACACTCTCTCGGGTGAGTTCTCCCACACTTGTATGGGTCCCGAGGAATGTAGGTCGGTCCTGATCTGATCGAGCCGGCCTGAATCTGGGTGGCCCCATAGTAGCTCAGGGATGGTCTCCTTCTCTCCTGACACGGCTGTCCTGGCCCCTCGGACAGGCTGGCAGCCTTTCTCTTGTTCCCTTCTCGTTGCATCCCCTCCTCATGCAGAGTTGTATCCGCCCTCTCCATCTGAAGAGTTGCCTGATAGATCTCTTCTTTGCTGTTCCAATTCAGTATACTTAGCTGGCGCCTAAAAGCAGGCTTTAGGCTCTCCAGGTAATGGGTGCGTTAGGCTGCTACATCCTGAAATTGAGGCCCTCCATAGGTAAATGGCTTGTCAAACCTGGCTGTGTAATCAGTCACGCTTTCCCTGCCTTCACTGCCCCACTTATGCCTGATCAACAGAAATTCCCTCTGCTTCTCAATCTGATAGGCCTCCGGTATGAAGTGGTCTTTGAATAGATGCACGAACTCTGGCCGGTGGGTCCTCTCGACTAGCTTTCTGGGTAGTCCACCAGTTGTATGCAACATCTTGCAGTTAGGGCACTGTCAGCAGTACTCTGTCCTCATCATCAACTCTGATCTCGTCCAGTGTATGGTTAACCTTGGCTAGCCACTGCTCTACTTCCATGGGGTCCGTTGAACGCTCCCCCTTAAAATCTTCCACCTTTCTCTTCCGGAAAGCTACATAGTCGGGTGGAAGTCTCACTGGCAGTGGCACATGTGGTGTGGGATTCGGGCCAACACTTGCACTGTAGACACATAGGGTCTCGTTAGAACTCAGTTATTTCTTCCTTAATATGGTTTAGAGTAGACTGGAGATTCTAAATTATTAAAAGAAATCCTTGGCTTGTTTGGCCAAACCATGACTTGAAATCTTTAAAAACAAAACATTTAAAAACCGAGACCGACACTCCATTATTTCTTGGAAAACCAAGAAACAGAGGACGACCAGCTCTTATACCAAAATGAGACATCCCACTACTTTGAACTTGGAAAAAAACATTTCTACCCCGGGGTATATTTAAAAATCTCAAATAACGCAACTTTAAATAAAACACCAATCTCAAATATCT